GTAGCAGCAGCTTTACCTGCTATGCACAGCGCAGCCCTATGAATACTTCTTTCTAAAAGAATGTTTCAGGGCAGGTGTGTCATGAGTAAGCCACCACCTAGCCTAGCCTAGCCCAGCCCCGGCTGTTGTGGCCATCTGGGGAGTAAACCCGTGGATTGAAGATCTCTCTCTGTCTCTCCCTCTCTCTCTAACTCTACCTTTCAAATAAATAAATCTTTTTTATTTTATTTCAGGTATATAAATTCTGAATACGTGACAATACAAAAACTTACCAAATTTTCGGCTAAAGAGGTCATTGACTTGTTCTTCTTAGCTGTTTAATCTTTTCGATGCTTGACACTCTTCTGTTTCTCATTGTCTAAAAATAATGAAACAAATAAAACAAACCAGGATTTATTAATTGTGCCCCCCGGCCCCCCAACAAAACAAAACAAAACAAAACAAAACAAAAAACCAAAAGCTGTTGGAAAGAAAATGCTCGTTAGCAATGGGGAAGGTAGCTTTACCCCAGCTTCTCATTCAGTTTTGCTCTGAGCAAACAAATGAAGTGTTTTTTATTTTTATTTATTTTTTTATTTTTATTTTTATTATTTTTTTGACAGGCAGAGTGGATAGTGAGAGAGAGAAAGACAGAGAGAAAGGTCTTCCTTTGCTGTTGGTTCACCCTCCGATGGCCGCTGTGGCCAACCCGCTGCGGCCGGCGTACCGCGCTGATCTGATGGCAGGAGCCACGTGCTTCCTCCTGGTCTCCCATGGGGTGCAGGGCCCAAGCACTTGGGCCATCCTCCACTGCACTACCTGGCCTCAGCAGAGAGCTGGCCTGGAAGAGGGGCAACCGGGACAGAATCCGGCACCCCGACCGGGACTAGAACCTGGTGTGCTGGCACCGCAGGCGGAGGATTAGCCTGTTGAGCCATGGCGTTGGCCCTGTCCTACTGTATAATAAGCATGCCGGTGGGTGTTGGAATATAATGATGAATACGATTAATTGTTCTTGATCCCGAGGGGCTATGTTATGGTTTAAGGGGACTCAGGCATCAAACACAGCTACCAATTATAATTAACTTTGCTTGTAATAAGTAGTATAGAAGCAGAGAAGTGTATGAAAGGGGATCTATATCAAAAGAGAGATGAATTATGGGTCAGGATTCAGGTACTTATGGAGAAAAATGGCCAAGTGGCTGGATCTGAGACATATTGTAGAATAAATGGAGATGGGAAGAGAGTAAGGGGTAGAGGATGATACCATTTACAGATGAGGAAAACAGAAGCAGGGATGGATAAGGTTGATAGAAAGAAGGTGGGGTAGATGGATGGATAGAATAAGGGACAAATAAGGGCTGTGTCACTGGATAACAGGGTAGAGAAATGGGTAGATGACTAGATCAGTAAGAAGTCATCGATAGGGTATGCATGTTATTACTGAAACAATGCTACCTTGTTTGTGTAAGATTCTTTCCCATTTATCCTTAAAATAACCTTTAGAAATATGTAGCCCAAGTATTGCTATCTTTCTTTTACAGAAGATAAAATTGAGACACAGGGTGATCGAGTGACTTGACAGAATCAGAACTTGAATTTTGGGGCAGGTGCTGTGGTGCAGCGGGTTAAGCCGCCACTTATGACATCAGCATCCCATATCAGAGTGCTGGTTTAAGTCCCAGCCCCTCTGCTTCTGATCCAGCTCCCTGCTAGTGCACCTGGGAAGGCAGCAGGAAGTGGCCCGAGGACTTTGGCCCCTGCCACCCACATGGGCGACCAGGGTCTCCTGGCTTCAACCTGCCACAGAGCTGGCTCTGTTGTGGCTCTTTGGAGAATGAACTAGGGGACAGATTCATTCTCTCTCTCTCTCTCTCTCTCTGCCACTCTGCCACTCTGCCACTCTGCCACTCTGCCTTTCAAATAAATAAATTTTTAAAAAAAATTCTTTGTCTTAAAACAAAAACACTGAGTCTCCCATCTTCCATCCATTCTTCTCTCTACCAGACACTGCCTTACAAACAACAAGAAAACCAGCCGCGGAGTGGGAGGGGAGAGGGAAGGTAGAGAAGGTGTCTCAGTAGGCACCTCCAGGGGAAGGCGTATGGGGAGAGGGGGAGAGTGAACCGGTTTGCATCCTCACTCAGTCGCTTTCTTCCTCGCCTTTGCAGGTCTAAGTATTTCCAGGGCAAGAAGCTGAATGGAGAGATTGAGATCCGAGTGGAACAGGTAGGTGGGAGCTGAGTGCAGTCACTTTTCTTGTTAATTACATCTTGCTATTACATATGTTTTTCTCCATTTTATGCTCATGGCTGATGGAGAGCTTGTGTACGTTTAGTGGAGAATATATTTGACACCACCAGGGAAGAAAAATTTTTAATAATATCCTGCTCCATCCCGTGAGATCATGACAGACAAAACACTTCCTTCAGGTCATGCTCTCCCGGACAGTCTTTTTAAAAATCTTGCATATTTGTGTTCCATATTCATTGAGCAAAGAAACTCCTCAGCCTCACCAGAGGAGGATTGAATGGGTGTTTTGAACAACTTTTAACATTTTGCCATTTTCATACACACATTTTTTTAAAATCAAGGGTGGGTATATTACCACATAATGTAGAATTCATGACAGAGATGAAATGAGGAAAGAGGGTATATTAATATGTAAGGGATATAATTCCATGAAGACAGTGTTTTTAAATATCTATATACCTAATAATACGGCATCCACAGTTTTTAAACCATTTATATATACATTTAACTAGAAAAGAATGTATAAATATGTGTGACTTTCACAAATGAGAGGAAATGCGGTCTATGTCTTTTCTGTGTTTGGCTTATTCCATTTAGCATAATAATCCTCATTTACTTCCATTTTGCTTGTCAGGACTTCATTCTGTTTTCTGGTTGAGTAATATCCCACTGTGTATATATCCCACATTTTCTTTATCCGTTCATCCATTGATGGGCATCTGGGTTGACTCTTGTGAGCAGTGCTGCAATAAACATGGGGGTGCAGGTATCTCTTTCCCACTCTCACTTCATTTCCTTTGGGTATTTTCCCAAAGAGGGAGCTGAGCCTGTAGCACTACCACCTGTTCTACAGCTGGGGTCATTCCAGGGCGACCTCTGTTCCCATCTTCTGCAGCTCCAGTGAGCTAACATGAGCAGAAAAATCCTTGCTTATACCAGGGAGTCTCATTAAACACCAGAATCACTTGATTGAGTGGTTTTCAACTTTTCTGTTTTAGCAACAGAAACTGTCCTAAAAGAAGTATCAGGGGTTGGCACTGTGGCACAGTGGGTTAAAGCCACGGCCCACAGCGCCGGCATCCCATGTGGGCACCTGTGGGAGTCCTGGCTGCTCCACTTCTGATCCAGCTCCCTGCTAATAGGCAACAGAAGATGGCCCAAGTGCCTGGACCCCTGCACCCATGTTGGAGATTCTAAAGAGGCTCCTGGCTTTGGCCTGGCTCAGCCCCAGCTGTTGTAGTCATTTGAGGAGTGAGCCACTCCCTCCATGTGTGTGTCTGTCCTCTCTGTAGTTCTACCTTTCAAATAAATGAATAAATCTTTAAAAAAAAAAAAGTATCAGTTAAGAGCTCAGTCTATAAAACAGAGGCGAGCTCTGATGGGAAATCCAAAAGTCTGTCTGCTCCTTCTAGTTTGTGATGGGCCCCGACGTGTCTCTTTGGAACCACTTCTTCCCTGGAGTGTAATGGGTTTGAATCCTGGCTGTCTCATTTTCTAGGTGTTGAGCAGGTGATTTAATCTCTCTGTGCCTCAATTTCCTGTTGTTGGGATTAAATTATTTAAAACCTCAAAAGAGATCAGAACCATGAATACTAGCTGTTGTTGTCACCCCTAATATCCAGACCCCCGTGGTATCTGGAAAGGAGTGTGCGCTCGCTCAGGTCTGCTTGCGAGGCCAGTGGCGACAGCAGGACTAGCGGGCGTGCTCTCCTGACTCCACATCACAACGTCCCCCCATTCATCCAGTGAGGACCTCCTCTATGCCAGGGATTGTTCCTGACCTTGGGAGACCCCACAGGAGAGCGTGGGCCCTGGAGCCTGACTCTAGGTTCACATTCCAAGGCCAGCCCTTCCTGTGTGGCCTTGGTTGGGCCACACTTCAGCTCCTTTGAGCTGTTTCTTCATCTGTACCACTGGAGTAACAATGGCCTCAACCTGTGTTTGTAGGGTTGCTCAAAGCAATGAATACGTCAGCTCATGAGAAGTGCTTAGGACAGTGCTTGGCACATACCAGGCACCTAATAATGCTACCCATTACCTCTGTCATCATTTCTTCCTCCCTCTAGTCTTCCTCCTCCTCCTTCTCCTCATTCTCTTCTTCTTCTGTCACCATCATTATCCTCACCATTTGCAAACAGTAACTAAGGTAGTCAATGTCCCTGCTATGAAATGAATCCAGAGAAACATAATAAAAATATGTAGGGGGTGAGTGGGTCTGACTGCTCTTCTCCCTTCACTTTCTGAGCTAAACGGAGCAGAGGAACAGAAAGCCCTTCTGAGCATCGTGTTGACTTGGCTTAGTTTTTAAACACCCATGATATTCATTTCAGCTTGATCCTGTGGCTTTCAAGTCAGTCCAGTGTCTACTGGGTTTTCCTTTCATGGCAAAGAATGGTTATTTTTGTTCATTTCATAAATATTTCTCAAGTATCGACTATGCTCACCTGCTGTTGTGTGAGGAGTGAGGAAAGCCTGTGGCCCAGGAAGGGAGGCAAGAGCTTCACAGAACATCAGCCCAGGGAAGCCAGAGGCTCCCACTTAGTGCTATGGGCAGCAGAGGCCACAGCCAGGGACGTGACCAGAAATGACCTCAAGGAAAGCGTGGTATATAAAGTGGATTGCAGGTTAGAAGGGATTCCAACAAATGGAGATGGTGGTGTGAAGGCTATGGGGGATGGGCATAGCGAGAGCAAAGACAGGGAGACCAGAAGTCTGAGCTACGAAATGGTGGGGAGTCCACTTTGATGGACCTCAAAATAGGGCGCATTCTCTTGCCCTGCCTCCAGCCTATTCCTCCTCCCCACTTCCTCGACTCAGTGAAGAGCGCCACCATGTACCTTCCACCCTGGCTGGAACCTGCACTGTCTCCTGGATGTCCCTTTCTCCCCTTCACCACTATATCCGTTCAGTGACCAAATCCAGTGGAGTCCACTTCCCATAATTCCCGAGTTCACCCATGTCTGCTCATCTGTTCCCAAGGCTTTCCTGTGCATGGTCCAATGTCAGCTCTCATCCCGTCTTCCTGACCCACAGCCTCATTACTCCATTTTTTTAAAACCCATTTCCAATCGATTCTTCACACCAAAGCTGGAGTGATCTTTCTAGAAAAGCAAATTAGATCCGTTAAGTGGTTGGCTTTAACATCCTCTCCACAAAGGCTCCTTCTCCGAGCCTTTGCCTGATATAAATCAGTTAACCTGGCTACTCCCTCTCATTGCACCTCAACTCTTCCTTCTTAGCCCTTATCTGAGTTTAACAACATATCTAGGGTGGGATTATTTGCACGAGGTTAGTCTTGGCTGTTTGGATCAGCTCTGTTAAATAGTACAGGGCCTGAAACAAACTAGAACTGAAGGAAATATTTGCAGAATGAATAATTGATACATTCCACAGATTCCTAGCTGCTTGTCAGTTTCCAGGGACAATAAATCATTGCTTCTTAATCTCCCCTCAGAAGTCCAAATTCTTCATAAGCCATCTGGTCAGTGCTCAGTTGCCAGCTCAGCTGGTCCTGCCTCTTCCCATTTGTAGACTCCCTGGGGCATGTGTTAACTTCTTTTCTCTTAGCACTGCCTTTAGCCCAATGTGTAGGTACAAAATCTATGAGCAGGGACCTCGGAGGAAATTGCCCTAAGAATAACTCACCCCAGGGGACTTTGGGGATGCTCACTCTTTGAGGGTTACAGTCCCGCTGGAAACCCTTGGCTAATTTAGAGTCGTCATGATTTCCAGTCATGCCTCTCCATGGAAGCCAGAAGATAAATGAGCCAGGAAACCAATTAGCAGGTCAGCTGGGCATTTTTCCCTGGAAGACATACCTTCCCAAGCCCACATGGGAGCCCGAGTTGCCTTGTCTTTTCCCGTCCGGGTCAATCGATGGGTCACATCAGCATCCCCCAGGAGCCTCATCTGCATCCTCCAGCACTTGGGAAAAGTCTTAGGATGGACTGTTTAGTCTGAGCTGGCCTCACATTTTGGGAGCCTGTCTCCCAACCGAAGGCCAAATTAACCAGATAATTGCACTGTCTGGGTTTTGCTGGACGCAGCAAATAAGTTCGTTGTAGTTGGCCTAGAGGAAGCCTCCACCCCTTCTCCACACCTCTTGCTCTCAATTCAAAAACTGCTTGCTGGGCTTTTACAGAGCCAGGAATCAGGAAACCCTGGGGAGGCCAAGGGGGGAGCTGCATAATTCTGTATTCCATTATCCAGAATCCTCTTGTGGCTCAGGGGAAGAGAGGAGGGGCTCACAACAGGGTTCTAGTGGGGCCAGAGTGGATGAGCCCAGGGCAGTTGGCATGTCAACATCTCCTCTGTTTATACTGGGGACATGGCGTCTTCTTCTCCACAGGCACAAGTCACGCTCTGTGGGACAAAGCAATGAGGTTGATGAATAGATTAATATTAAGTAGGCTTGCAGTTCTGAGAGAGCAGGGACTAGGACTTGGTGAGACAGAGCCTTGGGCACTTAAAAAAGAAGACTGAGATGACCATGGTCATTTCCTGGTCTTTCCTCAGTGTCCATGGAGATACCATGTCATAAGAAACAGTAATACTGGGGCCAGCACTGTGGCAGTGATTAAAGCCGCCGCCTGCAGTGCCAGCATCCCGTATGAGCGCCGGTTCAAGTCCCGCTGCTCCACTTCCAATCCAGCTCTCTGCTATGGCCTGGGAAAGCAGTAGAAGGTGGCCCAAGTCCTTGGGCCCCTGCACCCACATGGGAAGACCCAGAGGAAGCTCCGGGCTCCGGGCTCCGGGCTTCGGATCGGTGCAGCTCCGGCCATTGAGGCCAACTGGGGAGTGATCAGTGGATGGAAGACCTCTCTCGCCTCCCTCTCTCCTTTTCTCTCTCTCTGTAACTCTGACTTTCAAATAAATCTTTAAAAAAAGAAACACTAATGCCTTGCTGCAACAGTGGAAGGGCAAGAGAAGCATAAACGCTAGCCATCAGGACTTCTGTTCAGCAAGCTGGGCAAGCC